CAATGTAATTCGAAAAAGAATAATAAATAATCAGTAGAATCAGTCAGTCAGTTGCAACGTAGAAGGATTTGATTTTGACCAATTTGGTCTCGTGTGCTGTTACGGGTATGAGGGCGGTTATCACTTCCCGACTGCTCACACCGTGGAAGGTTGTTTCTTGAGGGACCTGAAAAGGAAGATAGATTAGTGTTGGTCTTGGAGACCCGGGAGCGTGACCGCAAAGCCCAAGAGACAACTGCTTGTGGCCGGTCACGCACGGCCTTTTTATGAGAAGTTTTTTGAGTGTTAGCTCCGCTCTTAAAAGCCCTAATTGGGCACCCTTACCGCCGGAGACGGAAATCCGTGAGTTAGGGTGAGGTGTGACATTTTTAGGGTCGACCTTTTCTAACCCGTCCTTCCTTGTGAGAAGGCAGCATCGCTGCAGATGCTGGTTGTCCGAGGGAAACACCTTACTGCTGTCACCCCCCCCTGCAGTCAGCAGTACGACTTCGCCCTCAGACCTTGAGTAGCTGCTTCTAGTCCCATCGTTCTCCAATCGACCTGCCTGGCTTGGTAGAATCTACAGGAACATATGTTCTGACCAATATAGCTTGTTTGGGTCGTCACGCTAGGCAAGCCCGACCACCACGTCAAGGTAGCAGCTTCGGTCGGGAGTAGAATAAGAAAAGAATACAATAATTCCAATACCTAAGATCTAATGGAAGACAGAAAGTGAATGTATTCTTTCTGTTTTTGTCTTGTGTGTTATGTTGAATAACACTGACTAATGCTCAAAACGTCTAACAGTTTGGCCCAATACTTACCAACCGTGAACGCAAAGAAAGAACGTATAGCTGATAATCTAGTTACGTAATCATTATACAATAGAACTATGAACAATAATGATTGATAAACTGGCTTTCTAACTTACTATTGCTTTAATATTCGTTCGGATATAACCCAACAATTCCAACCGTTGATTGCTGCTATTAAGCGGACCCCAGTCAGGTAGTTTGTACATACTAACATGACTTAAGCTAACAGTTAATGATTTCATGTGATCTGATTCTATGTGCTGGATTCACCATCTATAATCTTCATGTAAACTATATTTGCATCAGAGATTTACGATAATGATGATCGAACCTACGTTTTTTTTTGTGATTCGAAATTAACAGACACTAACGATCACAAAAACTGTCTGTACAATTTCTTTAAAATGCATGTACCGTTTATTATCTAGTCTTATTAATAAAAACTAACGATTTCTTTCAAGTGAAAATAACAACAAAATCAAAACTATATTATTATGGTTGCTTGAATATTTACTGTTGTTTTATGAATCAGTCATTTTCAGTTGATTTTTCAATCAGAGCAATGGAGATTAGTGTTTTTTGCACATTGAAATCATCAATCAGTCATTGTTAGACCACCATTAGAAATCTGTATGCACTGGACAGCCGTTTCGCCCTGGTATGGGACTCATCAGTAGCACTGCGCATCCGCGACTCCTGCACCCCGCAGGATTCGAACCCGGGACCTTCGGGATTGTACGCGAACGCCTAACCATTGAACCACTGGGCGGGCATCCAACGGTGTTAATGTCTAACTCGGATTGATCTAGGGATTTTGCGCGAACTCACCCATTTGTCTATGGTAGTTACTGCCTAGATCAATGATTGATTAATGATTTCAATGTGCAAAAAACACTAATCTCCATAGCTCTAATTGAAAAATCGTACAATGTGCTCACTACTGACTCGCTTCGTGAGGAAATTCTTGGAGTTCCAGTGAGAAGATGTGATCAGTGGAGTTCAACCCTGTTGGGTGTAGGCAGTAACTACCAAAGACACATGGGTGAGGTCGGGCAAAATTTGTAGATTGATCAGAGTTAGACATTAACACCGTTGGATGACAGCCCAGTGGTTCATAGGGTAGGCGTTTGCGCTCAAGACCGAAGGTCCTAGGTTTGGATCCTGCTGGGCGCAAGAGTCGTGGATGCGCACTACTGATGAGTCCCATACCAGGATGAAGCGACCGCCCAGTGCTTCCATGTTTTTAATGGTGGTCTAACAAGGATTGATTGATTGATTGGTGATTTCAATTTTCAATCAAAAATAAACAAATAAAAAATAATGAATTGAACGTTTCCTTTGTGACATTATTTTTAGTAATCCAAGTTTAACAGAACATGTTTTAATATGATTGAGTTCGAAGGAATAAATAGTACGATAAAAAAATTCAGAAACTCATCCAATTAGGTTAGACTTATATCTATCCAGTGTCTAGTTAATAATATATATATATATACACATATATATATATATATATATATATATATATATATATCACTGGTCTGTAAGCATAGTGAGTCACAGTATTGGAGATTCACTATTAGTTGTTCAATACCTGATATCTCTGATGAATATGTCGGATAAAAGTATCAGAGTATCCAAAGAGAGATATTGATGAATTACTCAAATAGGGTCTTTATCAAGTAGTCAAACAATTAAAGGAGGGATTATAGTCATCACTATGCATTGGATAAAGTTGTGTCACATTGAAGCAACACAACTAGGCAGCACTTATCGATGCTTCTGTTACTAATTATTGATTCTCTATGTGAATAGAATGTGAAACTTTTTGCTATTCATCTGAAGTTTGTTTGGCATGCTGATCTAATTTACTATCAAAAAGAACTACAATCTGCAAACACCTGTTGCAACTCGTGACAATATATTAGAAAAAAAGTTAAATATACACAATTTAACATTAATTAAACTTTCTTTGTTTTTATTCCTTAACGATATATGAGTGTTTGTTTAAAGTTAAATAAAAAGAGATATTTTATTGTCATGTTGTTATGAGGCGCTTTATTCGATAGCTGATCTAGCTACACTTTCTCCATATATAAATATATATATATATATGTATATGATTTTGGCTAGAACAAGCTTAGAAACCTAGAATCACTGGACGGCTGTTTTGTCTCAGTGTAGGATGCCTCATTGGCAGTGCGCATTTACGACCTCCGAACGCGGGAGTTGAACCCAGAACGTTCGGTCGCGTGCACAAACACCGATGAGTATTGTGCTTGGACGAAGAAACCATCCAGTACTTCCAATCAGTGTGCTTTTACGGGTATGAGGGCGGGATGTAGTGACTTCACATATATTTGAATTCACTTACATTTTATTAGGTCAAGCCTTTCGGTTAATTTATTGAACCAGGTCATTTGTATAACAATAACTCATATGTACCATTGGCCTTTATTTTTGTGTGGTTTGTATGAATTGGTATGACTGAACATTGTGTACACCTGCGCACATATTCATCCTATTCGCTTTAATATTAATCTCTTAAATATCACCATGACTCAGATATCTCCCTTTGTATATATACGAACATTTTTATCTTATCAATCCATTCGTACATTCACTCGCTGGTGTGTCTGCTCGATCTACTTGTGGTCTGCTATCCTTTTGTGGTGTGCCACAATAAACGTATTCAATACTGCGAGTTTACCTTCTGATTTATAACCGTCAGAGGCCATCTAGTTACGATTGTCTGAACGAGCTAATTACGAAACTTAAGAACACCTCTACACTACAGGGACAACTGCTTGATGCCGGTCACGCACGGCCTTTTTATTAAAGGTGTTTTTGAGTATTAGCTCCGCTCTTTTAAAGCCCTTATTGGGTAGCCCTTACCTCCGGAGACGGAAATCCGTGACGTAAGGTGATGTGTGACAATTTTAGGGTCGACCTTTTCTAACCGTTTCCTTCCTTTTGAGAAGGCAGCATCGCTGCAGATGCTGGTTGTCCGAGGGAAACACCTAACCGCTGTCACATCCCTCTACAGTCAGAAGTTCGACTTCGCCTTCAGACCATGAGTAGCTGCATTTAGTCTCATCGTTCTCCAATCGACGTGCCTGGCTTGGTAGAATCTACAGGATCATATGTTCTGGTCAATATAGCTTGGTTGGATCATCACAATAGACAAGCCCGACCACCATGTCAGCGTAACAGTAACGGTCGGGTTTCTAATGGTGGTCTAACCATAATTCATTCATGATTTCAACTATCAAAATAATACATTCTCCTCAAAGACCCTTCATTGATAACAACCATGTACTACTCACTAGTAACTAACTTCAAGATGAATTTCTGAATTTCTAGTAAGAAGTTGTGACTAGTGAAATCCGATTATGTGTCGGGTAGAGGACAGTTATCAACTGGAGACAAGAGATGAAGGTTGTGCAATATCATGAATTGAATTAAGTTAGACATTGACATTGTCGGGCATTTGTACGTGATACTAAAATCTTAGGTTCGACTCCTACCTTCAGTGTCATGAATGCGCACCATCACTAAGGAGCCCTATAGAGTGAGATGAGATGGCCGTCTAGTGCTTTCAGGCTTTCGGTGGTAGTGTAGTGAAGGAGAACACAGGTGAGGGCGACTGAATTGTATTTAACGAAAAGTACAGAGTTACTCAGTAAAATTAGGAAAACCATATCGTAAATCGTTAATTTGCAAAATATCAGTTCATCATATTATCGAACTGGACTGTTCCTGTTGCAAAACATCAACAATCCATTGTCACTCACTATTCATGCGTTTCATACAAATTCCATTGTGTTCTTCTAACTCTTCCTTTCTTGATCTTCCCCCATCTTCTGCTGCCAGACATTACGTTGACACTCATGTCATATACTACTTATAAGTAGCTCGCACCACAGTAGTCTAGCTTAGTTTAGTTCGTTATTTTAACTATGGATATATATATATATATATGCATTTATCATTTGGCAAATTCTGATTGGCCAATTGTATTACTTGTTTCAAACACTTGTAATATAATTAAATTATGATTTTATTTATATACAAACAGATTACAATACTTTCTATACCTTAGTTTTACCATAAACGTAACCTTGAACATACATTTCATGTACATGTCACTTATTCGTTTGTTCGTTTGTTTGTTATTGTTATTATTGTTGATCGATTTCTTCCCAGGTATGCAAACAGACATACATTCAACATTGAATGACTATTCGAATCGACCTCCTGCTGAAGCATTTATTATAGATTTTAGTTCATCAAAACCTCGTTTAGAAAAACCTGCATCATTATCTGGTAGTCTTAGTCAATGTATACCAGCAAAACTTCGTCAAGGTTTAGATGAACGTGAAAGAAAAAAAAAAGAAAAACAGTTAGAAGTTAAACAGCAACAACAGCAGCAACACCAACAACAACAGTCTACACATGGATCGACGATGAATAAAGTAAGATAATAATAATAATGAAGTTATAATTGGTTCTTTTCTAATTTCCTTTTTAAGTTACTTACAATAGGTAGAAGGGAAAAAGGTAGTTTAAACTAAGTTGGTTAAATTCGATTGTTAGTTTTGATTTATCTGCCTGTCAGTAAGGAGCTGTTGTTTTTTTTTAGCAGGGGATCAGTCAGCTACAACGTAGAACTTCGTACGTACGTACGTAAGTACATCAGTTCGGTTTGCCATACCACATTAGCACACACGGACAATGAACTGTCAATTCCAATCATATAGTAGTAGTAGTAGTAGAGGTAGTAAAAGTCTTAACTGTAATGGCAAAGATTAGGGTTGGAAGAAATTAATCAAGAAGTATAAGCAAGTGATATCAGTCTGAGAAGAGGACAATGAAGTTCATAAGGAAGTCAGAGATTTAGAATTCGACAAAACACAAAGAATGGATGCATCTGTACCTTTGCAAACGATTTTCAGCCATATTATTCAAGGTCTCCAGTCATCAGTTACTATCGTCTTGCAGACCCCAATCAAGTAGTTTACATTTACAAACTTGGCTCAGTCTACGTGTCAGTGACTTTATGGATTTGTGCCGTGTTTTGGTTTGGCCGCCTCAAGCTTTCTTCCAACTTACTCCTACACTATAAAACATAGCTCGTCTAGGCAGTCGTTGGCTGGGCATTCGTAACACATACGCGAATTGATCTATCATCCTTACCTAGTACCTTTTTCTTCATCTGAGCATCGCCTACCCGATTGTCTCAGGATATGTGAGCAATGCTTCAAAGACACCGCTGATCAAATACTAGTAACCTAGGAATAGCCTCTACTCTTACTGGCCATGTCTCACACCTGTATACTAGGATTGATTAAGCTTCTGTGCATTAAACTCGACCTTTAGATAGTAGATAGATATTTCGCCTACGCCATAGGTGACACAAGTTGGCAAAAACCAACCAAGCCTACTATATCCGTACCGTCATGATACAATCTAAAGTAATAACTGCTTCATTCAGTATAACTCGACTTGGTCATCACAACAGGCACTGAATTTCATATGAAAATCAGAAATATATTTATAAACGTCACTGAATACATATTCTGCTCTTTTCTGAGTGTATGTAAATGATCACTAATATTGTTATTTACATAGTTATTAATAAACTATTCATGCATGTATATATGAGTAAGCAGGTTTCTAATTTATAAATAAATTTACTAAATTCCTATGTAAATCTATTTGTAAATGACTAATAGGTTAGTTGTTTAAATATGACAACATTCAATTATTCCATGATAATATCACTGGTCTGTTTTGATTTGTTTATAGAGTTAGTATATTAATGTAAGGATATTTGTGTTTGCTTGTCTGTGTGTGCTTTTGTGTGTGCATGTGCTTGTGTGTGTGTGTGTGTGAAATATAAACTGTTTATAACATCGACTTTATACATTTGAATGCTTTCATGAAAAGTTTACTTGTTGTGTCTATTATTGTCATCGGTAGATAACAAGTAGTCCGTGTTGTTTTCCTTTCTCTAATAGAATACTGTATTATATGACTACTATTGTTTGATTCTTATTAAACTGTGTACTACCCACTGAGTTGCGTATACCTAACTTCCACTATCACAAACTTCGACAAGCAATAATAACTACTGTATGAGTCATGAATCAGTCATTGTTAGACCACCATTAGAAACCTGGAAGCACTGGACAGCTGTTTCGTCCTGATATGGGATTCATTAGTAGTGGTCTAATAATGATTAGTTCATGATTTCTACGAGTAAAAACAATGATCTCCATTATTCCAATTGACAAACCGTACTATATGTTCATTGGTGACTAGCTTCGTAAGGAAATTCTCGGAGTTCTAATGAGAAAACGTGATCAGTGGAGGTTTAACTCTGTCAAGTGTCTACAGTAACTACCGGAGATAAGTGGGTAAAGTAACGCAAAGTCCTTAGATTGACCAGAGTTACACATTAACACAGTTGGATACCGGGTTAGTGGTCCAAAATTAGGCGTTAGAGCGCAAGACCGAATATCCTTGGTTCGAATCCTGAGAGTAGTATGAGTCGTGGGTGCGCACTGCTGATGAATCCCACAGTAGGACGAAATGACTGTCTTTCAATGTTTGTGGATTTCTACTGATGGTCTAACAATCATTGATTTATGCTTTCTGCCTGTTAAAACAGTGATCTCCATAACTCTAATTGAAAAATCATACTGTATAAGTGTGGTGTGAGCTACTTATAAGTAGTATATGATGTGAGTGTAAACGTGATGTCTGGCAGCAGAAGATGGGTGAAGATTAAGAAAGGCAGAGTTGGAACACAATGAAATTTGTATGGAACGCATGAATAGTGACAATGGATTGATGTTTTGCAACAGGAACAGTCCAGTTCGATATGATGGGTTGATATTTTGCAAATGAACGATTTACGATATGGTTTTCCGATTTTACTGAATAACTCTGTAATTTTCGCTAAACACAATTCGGTTGCATCACCTGTGTTCTCCTTCACCACATAAGTACTTTTGGAATAAAACTCTAGGGGCAATCAAACCAAAAAGCTCATAGCGTTAGTCCATGAAGTTCGTTGACTGTTGATCGTAACGCTGTTGGTCAACGCAAACTATCTGATTGGAATGATTGAGATAAATTTAGTCATCAGTCATCGGGTAAGTTAGATGACATGGTTAATAAGATAAGTCACATATAGAGATGCATTCAATTTTCAATATTTCTTTAAACACACCTGTTTATTCTGTAGGCCTTTTCTTCGAACTATATTCTCAATGCTTAGTCACTGCTTCTTATCTTTCAGTAGGTCTTCTTATTTATTTGTCTCTGATAAGAGGTATGGTTGAACAAGCGGTTAATTGTTTAAACTATACAGTTTATCTTAGTTCATCCTTTGTTTGCAGATGTTTTTCAAGTTATTCATCTTACTGTTTACTTATTTGATTGTCAAGTTCTTAATTATCATCATACAACTTTATGAGAACTACACACATACACACAAACAGTTATTATTTATATATCGAGTTTCTTTTCATTTGTACGTACGTACGTACGTTCTAACTGACTGACTGACTGATTGTCTGACATGAAAACAATATAGAACAAAGAGGATTTATTAACTGAGAAAAAATCGTTTGATAACCAGTCTTTATCATAATTCAATTGTTTTACTGGAGTATTTTGGCGATAAGTTTAATCTATCATCGGTATTTAGTACAACACATTGATCTATTTTCGGATGTCATCGAAAACCCGGATGGATTAGAGATGGCTATTGTGTTCTAGTGTGAAACAACTTATTGGACGTGTGCATCGAGTTAATCATGAGACTACTTGTTTGAAATCTTATAGTACACACATTTCCAATATCAATTATTTCATGTTATGATTTGACAATCATCTATGGTCCATTTTGAGATGGATATTTCACTGCCGTTATGAATGAACTCCATTTACAGATATCTACATACTTCACAAACTCACTTCTAATTATGTTACTAATGTCTAGACAACTTTTGCTTTGATGAGAGTGACAGACAGACTGACAGATACAACGCAGAACTTCGTACATAAGTACATCTGTTCAGGTTGCCATACCACATCAATACAGAGACGCAACTGTCAGTTCAAATCCAAGAGTGATAGTGATAATAGAAGTATTAGCAGTAATGGAGAAGATTATGGAGCAAAGATATGATTCGAGAAGTATAATTCAGTGAGATAAATTTAGAAGGAGAAAGACAGAGATTATGAGCAATTCAGAAGGTTAGAATTGCAGAGAACATAAAGAGTGGATGCACCTGCGCCATTGCAAACGATTCTGAGCCATGTCGTTCAAGGTCTCTAACCATCGGTGACTATCGTCTCGCGGACCCCAACCAGGTAGCCTACATCTACCAACATGACTCAGTCCACTTGTCAGTGACTTCATGGATTTCTGCCATGTTTTGGTTTGGCCGCCCCTAGCTTTCTTCCAACTTACTCCTACACCACAAAACCTTGCTCGACGAGGCAGTTGGTGGTTAGCCATACGTAATGATGAGGGTGAAGGTTTATTCCGGTGATTAGTTTGTTTAACTTGTAAGTTCCATAATAAATACGACTTACGAATAAAGGATAAGCCTATCTGCAGTAAGTATATATTATACATGTTTGTTATAGTTACGCAATCCATCAGAAATATTAATCAATAAATCGGTGTCGATATCTCACTTTGAATTGAATTTAAAATGATTTGTATGAAAAGAAGTTCATAGTCGGGGAAGGGGGGAAGATACCTTTTTATCTAACACATCCTTAAGTCACAATCATTCAAAATGTTCAGTGATTACAATTTCTAATAAAATTACTTTTTTTTCACGTTTTACTGTTGGTTAATTGTGCTAAATATCTATGCTTATGCATAGATAAGAATATTATTTACAATTATTATTAAGGATTAGGCTTAGTTTTTTTTTCAGAGTTGAAATCATTTACTAATCTTAGCTAAACTACGATTGGAAACTTGGAAGCACTGAACAGCTGTTTTCTCCTTGGATGGGACTCCTCAGTGGTGGGGATCGAACCCAGGAACTTCATTCTCGCACATGAACATCTGACATCCAATAGTGTTATTGTCTAACTTCAGTCAATCCACAATATTGTGCCACTGTCATCCATTTCATTCAGCGGATAACTGTCTCCTATCCGACACGGATTGAACTACACTCTGTGGTTATCTAATCTCTCTCTCTCTCTCACACACACACACACACCATTTTTCATATACATTACGATTGTTTTGATTTTAAACACAATCCTATAAGAAGTATGTTTCTAGTGGTAATTTAGATCAGTTACACGAAAAAAAAGTATTTTTTTCTACCATGAGTAAACCAATGATATCGTTCTACTGAAAACTGCGTCCTTGTGCTAATGTGGTATGGCAACTTGGACTTATGTACGTATGTACGAAGTTCTATGTTGTAACTGA